CCCAATCGAAACAGATAGAAAACAGATTCTTGGCAGTCTCAGCCTGTGGACAGAAGAGCAGCCCAGCAGCCCTGCAAGGCCTTGCTGAGGATGCAGTGGTGGGGTGAGGGTCCGTGGGCCCCTCTGTGTAACTCTTGGGCCTGGGACTGGCTCTGAGACATGCAATTGGCAGTCCTCTGGAAAAGTGGGCCCATGACATGATTGTAAACATGGACAGGCATGTTTACGTGCACACAGAGGGAAAGCCCCAGATTAAACCAGAGGAACTGTGTAAAAAAATCCTGGCTCACAGTAGACCAAGAGGAGGCACCCTCGACGAGACGAGCAAGCCCTCTCTCAGGCTGTTTCCTCATTTGCAAAATGAGAGCCTGGCTTTCATGACCCTCAATCTCCCTGTTGGAGCTAAGGATGAATGACCATATTATTCTGGAAGCAAATGTCCCTGGGGGATTCTGAGTTGGAGGTGAGAGGGGTGCTTTTTCCCTCCCTCTTCCCATCCCCGGGGACCATCCCTTCAGCCTGGGCATTAAAGATGAAGTCTGTAGTCTCTCCGGCTTCACCAGAGCTACTTGCAAGGACTCAGTGCATCTGGGAGACACAATAAAGTGAAAACACAGCTTAAAACAATAAACCATGAAGGAAGGTCAGACCCAAGCCTGTGAATCCAGGATGGACCCACAAATAACAGGAGACATTTTCAGACTGGGCCTGGGCAGGGACAGTTTGGGTACCCAGATGCTCTTGTTGACTGAGCTAGCATCTGACTGGCACAAAAGGAGTTGTAGGAGATGGAGTCATCAGCCCCGACTCCCTCACTTCTCCTGGTGTCCGTGTCCTTTGCTGTGTGACTTTGCTACCTCCCCCTCACACACACACACATACACACACACGCACATGCACATGCCTTGGCCAGTGGGGTGTGAACAGAATGTCCATGAGTAGGCTACAGCCTCAGCCATAGGAACTTTCTCTGGAGCGTCTGCCAGTGCCATGGATGAATGTGCCCCAGACCACCCACTGGTCCAAGGGGGTCGGGCTTCAGGGGCAGGAACCACCCGGCCTAGACTGGGCACTGCCAGGCTCCCTGGGGCGTGGAGCCAGCGCATGCAGGAATGCGCGATACACGGAGGCTTACTGTGGCCTGCACCAGGGCTCTTCCACAGCAGGTGACCGCACTTCGACTTCAGCGCTCCTGGGAGCGCTCCGTGCTGGCTTTCATCTTCAGGGTCACCCTCATTGCATTAAATTGCAACTGTGGTGAGGGTGGGAGCTATTTCCACTTACTAGAGAAGAAGGCCACGTGTGTCTCCCTGCTGTAGACTTGGGAGCACAGAACCTGGGTGGTGAGAACCTTCGTTTAACGGGATTTCTTCATGCAAAGTTAGCACGTTGGCCACTGGGGAGGGTAACTGCTCCTAACTCGAAATCTCGCCAGAGCATGTCAGCATGCTTCCATCTTCCTGGGCAGGGGTGATGACACAATTCCACCCTCTTTGGGTGCCCCAAGGAGACCATTCCAGGTGTCAGGGAGGAAGGCGAGGCTGCTGTTCAGAGCCGGCTCCTGGCCTGAGTTCTAGCTCTGATGTCATTGGCGTATGGCCTTGGGCAACTCTCTCAATCCCCCCCAGCTGTCAGTTTCCTCATCTGAGAAATGAAAAAACAGGAGCATCTTAAGTGCTAACGGGTGGGTGCACAGTGAGGGCCACTGGGGGCCTGGAGTGCCTCTTGGGAGGCCACCGGTCACAGCTCCTTCCAGAATGTTTGCACCGGGTGCAGAAGGCAAATGAAGCTGCTCTTGAGCAGATACATCCCCGAGGTGGCTACTCCGAGGCAGGGGTGTCACCTCCAGAAAATCACTTTTTAGGGTCCTCAGACTTGCTGCATGATCTGTTTCCCCCTTGTTCCCTCTGTCCTTCATTCCCAGAAGTCTGCTCATCTTTTCCTGCAGGTGTGACTCAGTGTCATGGGATCTGGCTTCCTAGACCCTCTGCAGCTGCATCCCAATTCTGGACCATCCTGGCAGTGCAGTTTCCAGAAGGTTCCCTACACACCTGAGGTCTTTAAGAATCACAACACTGCATGAGTTACCGATTGCCATGTGACAAGGGTTAGCAGCATGAAACAACATTTCTCCTGTGGTTTGGAGGGGCAGGAACTGCGGACCAACTTGGCTGGGCGGTTCTGGCTCGGGATGCTGGAGGGAGCTGCTGTCTCATCTGAAGGCTGGACTGAGGCCAAGGGCTCTCTGCTTAGATGCGTCACGCACATGGCTGGAGGCAGGGTACTCCCACTGGATTTCCTGTGCCAAGGCAGCTCACCTCGCCCAGAGCAACGGATCAAGAGAGAAAAGCTGCAATGGCTTTTATGACTGAGACTGGGAAATTTTGTTCTTTTTGTTGCAAAGACCAACCCTGATGTGAGGCTGGGCATGAGGACCAGGAGACAGGGCTGCGGAAGCCATCTTGGAGGTGACTACCATGACACCATGCTGGACTCTTCTCCACGTTTACTGCATCCCCATCTCCTCTGAATGCCAGGACACTGGCTCTGCCAGGGCAGGGAGCTTCATCGTATCTTTGGTTCACTGCAGTACCCCAGTGCCCCAAGGGCCAGCCACAGGGTGGGTGTGCAGTGAATGCTGACTAGGGGAGGCAGGGAGGAGAGGCACCTGCTGCCTGGGGGTGACGGACATCCAGGTGGTCCTCCCGGAGGCCAAGGCTTGGGACTGGGCCTCCAGCTCGGGCTTCCTGAACTGACAGTACTTTGCATGCTGTTTCTCGAGCCCTGGAAGTCCTTCCTGCCGAAGCCCTCAGGTCCTACTATGACTATTAGAGGGCACAAAACCACCGCCTTTTATGGGGCCAAAGCCTGCAGGAGCCACGGCGGAGGCTGTGTGCCACGTAAGAGACAGGAAGAGGTGTACGTACTTGAAACCACATGCGTCCGGAAGGTTGCATAACACCCCCTTCCTCTCTCTCCCAGAAGCCAGATGCCCCAAGCTGGGAGCCCACTCCTCTCCTATGAGCAAGGTTGGTGGTGAGGAGTGAGTGCCGCTGGCGAAGGTGGTTACTGTATCTGAGTGCACACAAGTATCAGTTCTGCCTGTGGGGTCGATTCGGGGAGCAAGCAGGGAGGCCCAGGCCTGCTAGGATGCCCCAGGCCTGCAGAGGGGTCTGGCATCAACAACCCAGTTCCCAAGTAGCACCATCAAATCTTGCTCGGATTCAGATGATGGGGAGACAGTGCAAATGTTGCTAGGGGTTGGGGGTCATGGCCAGAACCCCCTGCTCTTTGCCAGAGAAACCTCAGACTTTTCTCCAAGCTCCCAAGGCCTGAGCCAGGGGAGCGGAGTGGCATGCTGACCCGCCAACCTGACACCAGCTGGCACGGATGTCACGTGGTCAGACAACAGCGGAAGTATGGGAAGACCAAGCTACGAGCCCCATGAATAATTTCTTAAAAGGATCAGTCTAAAGATGTCAAGCTTTTCAAAGTAACATTCAAATGCTTATCCCCTGATAACAAGTTGACCCAGCAGAGACCCCAGGTCTAGACTACTGCAGGGCAGATCCCCATTCACATCTAATGAATGCCACAGTTAAAAAGAAAGATCATGGTCAAAAGAGCCCAACCTCTCCAAACTATTGAAATGCTGTCCTCCCACACGGCCCTCTAACCCTGGTCCACACCCGTTTCTTGTGCGCCTGCACGCCGAGTACCTTCAGCGGAGGTCTGACTGTGGCTCCTGGCTACGTCCAGCTGTGCACAGTGGTGGATGGGGGTCTGCGGGGGTTTGCTGGGGTAAGCGGCCGAAGGCCCCCAGTCTTGGGAACAGCTGCCCTCCCTCCCTGACAGGAAATGGAGGCTCCGACCATGGAGCCCAGGGGACCTCATCTCTCAGCGGTGGCTCCCCCAGCTCCATACTGATCCAGACAACCACAGGTGGAAGGGTGCCATGTGTGCAAGGTCCTCACTCGACACCCAGCCAGAGGGGGACTCAGTACTTTACAGATCGTGTGAGCTGCGGGGAGTCAGGGCAAGATGCAGAAAACAAGCCCACATGTGCTCTGGAATCTACAGCCATTCCGGAGCGTCCAGGCCACAGGCCTCCCTTCTGCCATTTGTACAGCAAAGCCCTCCTGCTGCACCCTGGGAGGCTCCCAGCCTCTTCCCCACCTCCATTTGGCCACTCTGGCCTCCCACCATGACCACACCCTGCACCAACATCCTGCTTGGGCCCAGAGGCAGAGGAGAGAGTCAGGTTAGGCTGGGGAGGGAGGAGGCACTGGGCTTTCTGCCCTCCCCCTCATGGTGACCACAGGCTGACCTCCAGCACAGAATGACAGGGCGGTGAGGGCTTCTTGGGGTCTACCAGCCACCCTCCCCCTTAGTGTGCACTCAGCATTGAAGGAGAGAGGAGGGGTGGGGACCCATTTGTTTTGTTTTTAGGGCAGAAACCCTCATATCTTTGGCGTGTGAACACATTCCACTGAGCTGGGAAATTGCAGGCCAGGGGCTCCTGGGAGGCAGCAGATGGGCAGGAATTTTTCCCTGGGTTTGCAGCGGCTGCGAGGCAGCTGGTGCTCCCCACCCCCCAAAAGGGAAGAGAGGTGGCCCTGCAGTGCTCTTGACCTCCAGGCGGCTCCTGTCTGGTTGCCCCAGGGATGAAAGCAGAAGCTACCAGCTCCTGGGGCAGAACCGTGTCTCCGTCAGACACCACCGGGTGCCAGCCTGCTGCGCCCATCTGCCTGTCTGCCTGCCCAAGCAGTCAGGGTTGTGGGAGGCCTGCCATTCATGCCCCTCGCAGGGAGGATGCATGCAGCTGCTCTGCCCAGCCTTTAGGACAGGCATCCAGGGCTCTGGGGCACAGAGTCCAGGGCACTGGCCCAGGTAACCCAGGACATAGGGGAGCACCCAAGCCCTGCTCAAGCTGCCGGGGTGCTGTCCCCCGAAGCACAAAACCTATGCTGGGAATAGGGTCCCTGAAACACCCTGGGTACCTGTTCCTGGATCAAAATAGCCAGAGAAAAGACCATTTTCGAGCAGACGAGGTGGAAGGTGAACTGCCGCGGGGCCACGGGGCCAACCAGGAAGTTGAACGCCATGCAGAGCGGGATGCCTGGCAAGCCAGGGCCCCCGGGGTGTGGCCTCCAGTTCCTAGGCGTGCCCCGTGGAGGGCCTCAACACCCCAACCCTCCTGGCAGTGCAGGAGGGGGCCGGGGTGTGAGAAGGGGAAGCTCACTGGGTGTGTCTCTGCTCCAGACCAGGTCACGGGCCCTCTTGGACAGGCAGCGGCCCCTTTCTCAGGAGGGAGGGGGACAGATCCGTGCTGGCCAGCTAATCTTGGTGATGGAGAGTTCCTGGTTATGGTGCTAGTTTTGTGCCGGAGCTGGATGACCCCCTTCTACCTGGACCCCCCCTCTGATTGTCCCTGCAGCCTTGGGAGGTGTCTTGCTTCTCTTCCCACTCCACAGATGACACCAAGAGTCAGAGGTCAGGCCCATGGCTGGGATTCCAACCTGGGGCTGGCCAATTCCGAGGCCGAGCTGGGCACACTAAGATGTCCTCCAGCCGATGGCGAGCCTGAGGCAGGCCCGTCTCATTGGCCCTCATCCCCAGTCCCAGCGCTGCTGGGACACAGCAGGTGCAAGCAAACGACATGGGTGGGCGGCCAAGGGGACGACCGAAAGGGTCCCCTCCATGGGAGGTTTTCTCCTCCCCCATCGCCCCCCCCTGCTCTGCCCTCGCCTCTGGGAAGGCCCCTGACCTGGGGGAGAGCTGGGCAGAGGAGGGGCCCAGGGAACATGCCCCTCCCGTGTGCTGGCCGCTGGGGCTGTGCCGAGCCTGCAGCACCGGCCTCAGCCCACCCCCTCCTCATGGCTCCCCAGGTGGGCCCGGGGGCTCTGAGCCTTGGCCAGGTGTCAGCCAGTTCAGGGTGTCTGGGCACCGCTGTGGGCCCCTTGCAGAATTAAGATGCAGATGGGGCGACAGGGAAAAGAAAGAGGAAAGACAAGAGAGAAGTCAAGCTTGGGGGCTTAGCATCGCAGGACTGACCGAGGGGAGCAGGGGTGTCGAGGTGAACGGGGAGAGAAGAAGGAAGGAGGGCAAACAGGCCATGGGAACAGGGAGCGCGGGGACGTGGCGGACAGCCCTGTGGGTGCACCCAGCCCTCCTGCCTGCAGCCCTCACAGGCAAGAACACTTATACTCATGAGAAAGTCGGCCCGTCAGTGGGACAGAACCTGGTGCGTCTAGATTGGGCCTTTCCTCCGCACGGAGGTGACCTCCTCCCACCCTGGAGCCACTCTCACCCGACTCAGACCCCTCCACGGCCCAGCATCACGGAAGCATTGTGGCCTCCTGGGTCTGCGAACACAGACTAAATTCACCATTACCACGGATCCCTGCGCAGCAGGCAAGTCAAACATTTCGGATGCACAGCTGCAACCTTATCAGCTGCTTTGAGTTTTAGACGCAGTGAATCAGACCTCAAACCCAGCGTCATTCCTGGTCCTGAAAAGTAAATCGTATTTCTTTAGTCATCTGCCAGCTCTTTTTGTAAAAAGTGACTTCAGACCAGGGGGACAGGGACTGTTCGCTGCTGGACAGCAAAGGCAGGTGCACCTTCTTAGTCCAGGAGCAGCTCCTCTTTGGCATCGACACACCTGAGCCACGTATTTCGGCTGATCTGTGAGCACAGCCCGTAGGGTTGCTGACTGGCCCTGCCGCTGCCCATGAGCACCCTTTCCGGAGTTACCTTCAGCTGGCATGGCCTGGGCATAGTCCATCAGCAGAGTCCTGGTGTGGCTTCCAACAAGGTTTTGCTTTACTGATGGAAAGGGATAGAATCTTCTGGCATGTTTTCCCTCATGGAGAAGGCTGCCTACCAAGCTCGGCCTCCACTTTTGGCAGAAGGAGTGATGCTAGGGGTGGGGTGGGGATGTGTTTGTCTCAGGCCTGATTTTGTGGGTCTGCAGGGGGCCCCCCAACCACGTGGGCTTGGGGTCTCCTCAGAGTCTTGTGCTGTCCTCCCAGCCTGGCCACAGAACAAGATCGTGTTCCTGACCAGTCTTGGGGCCACCAAAAACATCCTCCGTAAGTGGGGATTTCATAGAGGTTCCAGATATTTCCACAATATAAGGAGAAAATACTGAAAAATCTGGCTTGATGTAATTCACATTCTTTCAGGCCAGGTCCCCCAAGTGTCGCAAGAGAACTGGGCTCACTTGTCCTAGACCTGCCTCGTGTGACGAGCAGAGAGCCCAGGTGTAGGGCTCCGGGGCACGGGCTCCCTCCGCCAGATCCCACGTTGGTGGGTCTCACATCTCTCCACCTGTGGGGTACTCTGAGCAGACCATTCCTCTGGGGGCAACTGAAATGAAGAAAAAGCTCCTTTTTATGTGGATTTTGAATCGGTGGGTCCACTTTGGCTCTCTGGGGACAAATCCAGTCTCTGCCTCCCACTGTCCTTGGAGCATCTGAGGATATGTGGCATTGCTCACCTGCCCCATCGAGAGTAAATGTCACTTCTTTCGATGCACCCACACAAGGTTTTCAACTTAAGAAATACCATTTGGGCTGAAGTCATGCAACATGCTTCACGTGGCTGTCACATGGAAAACCCCTATGAAACCTTACACATGGCCATGGACTGTCCATTGTGCCCACGAGGATGCTGAGGCCAAGGTCGGCTGGCTGGCAAGCGGCAGGGCAGGGACTTGATGGTTGAGGGTCTGACTCCAGAGACGGGGCACTTAACTGGCCACCCTGAGCGATGGCCTCTTTCCTCACAGGTGCTGTGGTTTGCTGAAATCCTTTGGAACATGACAGAGGTGGGGTATCTCAGGTGGTGGTCAGCAGCAGGGGAAGTGGGGTGGCCATCCACCTTGTTCTGTGATGAGGCTGCAAAAGTGCTCCACCTGAGGAACTAGTCCAGCCTGTCACCTGTGTTTGCATGGCCCATCAGCCACGTTTTTAAGGGGTCACGGGAAAAACAAGAGAGGAAGACAATTTCCTGAAACATGAAAATTATGTAAAATTCAAGTTTCAGCATCCAAAAAGGGTTATTGGCACAGAGCTGTGCCCAGGGGTTGTCCTGGCCTGCCTGGGCTGTCATAACAAAATACTGTAGACCAGGGGCTTCAACACCAGACCTTCATTTCTCATGGTTCTGCAGGCTGCACGTCCACGACCTACGTGCTGGCAGATTTGGTGTCCAGGGAGAGCTGTTTCCTGGTTCACAGATGGAGTCACCTTCCTGTGACCGCACGTGGTGGACAGCGAGCTTGCTTGGTCTCCTCCCTTCTTGTAAAGGCATCAGTGCCATCGCGGACCCAGGCTCATGACCTCATCTGAACCTAACTGCCTCTCAAAGGCCCCCCCTCCACATCCCACCCACTGGGCTTAAGGCTTCCACTTTCTAATCCAGGGGGACACAGACATTCAGACCATCACACTTATCTATGTATTGTCCATGACTGGTTCCACGCTGTGTGGCACAGCTGAGCACACAGACCACACTGCCACAAGCCTGGAACACTTGCTCTCTTGTCCTTGACAGAAGAGGTTTGTTTGCCCAGCCCTGCTCTAGGACCACAGCCGTGCAGAAGGCATGTCCCGCTCCCGGAGCAGAGGCCACAGGCACCCACCCACCCCATCTGCTTCGTGAGTGCCCTGGGGAGCCAACCCCCTGCTCCTCTTCCCTCCCAGGCCAGCCTGCCCACCACCTGTACTTGCTTTCTGGGCCCAAGCCTAGGTAGGTCTTTACCTCTGTCCCTGAGGTGCTTCAACCAAGTGGGAAGCGCTCAGTGTCGGGCTGCCAGCATGCCCTTGCTCTGCTCTTTCGTTCTTTGCTCGGGCATATCTCAGGCGGTTTGGTGACTTTCACGCCAACCCTGGGATTCTGTAGTGAGTTTTCGTCCTTGGAGGTCACAGCCTCCTGTCTGGGGATAGGACATGCTAATCTGCTCTGATAACTGAGACCCAGAAGGCAGACCATGTGTAGGCAATGTGATCTGCGGCGTTCTGCCCACCCTGCTCGTTGCTGCACTGTGGCGGGAGGCGCAGGCAAGAGGCATGTAGTGCCTGGAGGTGCCACTGGTCACAGTCCAGGGGGATTTACTGTGGGTGCACTCAGCAACGTCACGACCACGGAACTCCAGCCCTGACCCATCACGGCACGTGTGGAACGTCTCAGAGCCTTCTTAAAAATGCAAACTTTCACAGTTCAAAAGCAACTTTTTTTTTTTCCTGACAGACACCTCTGCAATGACATGTACAAATTTTCCAAGGGTTCCAGATAGGCCACATTAAAACATCTAATCAAATTCAGGACTTGGCTGCACGGTCTGTTGAATGGATCTCCTCCCCTGGAGGCCCTGTGGCCCCAGGGGGGTGGACTTCTCCCATGGCTGAGGTTTGAAATGGCTCTACTAGACTCACAGAAGCCGGGGAGGTGGAAGCCCAGAGAAAGTTGCAGGGAAAGGGACCCCCAAGAGGGAGGTCCTTCCTGGCCCTGCCCTGTGGAGCCCTAGCTTCCTGTCCCCCTCAGATGTCTGAGGGTCAGAGCAGGGAGGGCGGCCAGCAGGGGGGCCCTGGAAGGCAACAGGCGGTCCCTCTCTGCATAGCTGCAGTGGTCCACAGGTGGCAAGGGAGTGTCAGGGCACATGTCCCTCTGGTAGTGGGGTCTGAAGCAAATCACGTGGTCTCAAAGTCTTTGCCCAAAAGATGCTCTTTATGTAAGAAAAACCTAATCATTGCAGAATCTTTTTTTTCTAAAGCCCTAATCAACATCAGCACAGTGCCACCACCACGGGGCGCAAACCCCATCCCTAGTAGCTGTCCTCAGGCGGATGGGGTACATCCCAAGGGTGTGGGAACATATGAAACCCATAGATGAAAAACACTGATGGAGGGAGACAGCACGCGTGTCAGGAAAGGACCAGAGCCAGTACTTTAGGCTTTGTGGGCTGGCGTCAGTCTCCGCTGACTCTTCAACCCGCCGTGTGAAAGCAGCCAGAGGCAGTATGTCAGGCAAAGGCTGTGGCTGTGTCCCAATAAAACTTTATTTACAAAAATAGGTGGTGGGCTGGATTTTGGCCCTTGGGCCATAGTTTGCAGACCTCTGAAGAAGGTGACAG